CAGTAGTTGGTACTGTCAGTTTTGATAAATCATTAATTACTTAATGTCGGGGTCTTTTTTGGTTCTGGCGCACTTTGTGCATGATAAATTTCTATATAATAGAGCGCAGACCTCCTTCCTCTATGACTCATTGGCTTGTCGCCAATGACGTCATCAGCATGGTTGTTTACTGTTTCAGTGAGATAAGATTTTTCAGAAATTTAGAGCAAACCTAATTTATAAACGCTATAACAGATGGATATGGGTTTCTGCGAGCAATACATCCACCAAAGATGTAAGAGTATTACGGATTTGTGTAATTTGCTAAACGAAGTCAAAAAGGCAAAGAATTCCTTGAGTATCTGTTTTCCACTACAAATATTTATTTCGATGATTTTTAAGCGCTGTAACACATGTATATGGGTTTTAGAGAACGATACAACCACCAAAGACTATAAGATGTTCACGCATTGTAGGTTGCTAAACGAAGTCAAAAAGACAAAGAATTCCTTGAGTATCCGTTTTTCACTACAAATATTTATTTCGAGCAAGAAAGCTGTTAAACATATCTGTGCAAGTTTTCGCGAAAAGAAAGACCGCCGAATTTGAAGGTTTCCTGGATCTCATTTGTCTTTGTAAGACTTTATATCTACATTTGTGAAGTGTACATTTGCTGTCGCCAGAAGCCAGAAGTGAATGTTACTTCGAAGAAAGGAGATAGTGAAACAATACAGCATTTTATGACCCTTTTAGAACCTGCAATTTTCAACACCATGAAGTGCACTTTTCCTCATCGCAGAAGGAAGTGTTTTTAACAGAATGCCGACAATAATCTTCTATTATTTCCAAGTCTTAGATATCTGATACATTGACTTTCTCTTCCTTCAATTCCTTTGTATAAAGCGTCTCGAGCTAAATCGGACAACGAATTCAAGCAAAAACGAAAGCAACAAATGATTAAGTCATTTCAGTTATTCTCATTTTTAAGGGAGAATCTACGAAGAGTTATGCTTTGGATGGCAACTATTTTTGCTATGCTACTTACGTTCTTTTTTAACTATCAGAATCCTTTAGGCTTTCTACAAATCGGAATAGGCTAACAAAACCAGCTGCCTCGGCTTCCGCAAAAATCATCCCAACTTTGCGGAGCGCGGCGAAGCTGCGCTACGTGAAAGTTGAAATGATTTTGGCTAGAGTACCTGTGGAGGGCTTACACACAATCTTCCTAGACAAAGCACCGCGAAGCGGCGCTTTGGCTAGGTTACTCTAGGAAGGAACTTACACACACTCTTCCTAGAATCAGCGCTGCGAAGCGGCGCCTTGGCTAGGGTACCTTTGGAAGGAACTTACACACACTCTTTCTAGACATAGCGCCGCCAGGCGGCGCTTTGGCTAGGATACCTTTGGAAGGAACTTACACACACTCTTTCTAGACACAGCGCCGCGAAACGGCGCCTTGGCTAGGTAAATAAATACATAGGCTATCTATAGCCATTTCTAAGTAATTTGTGTTCTGGCGCACTTTACGCGCATGACGAATCAATAAATGAAAAAGCCATCTATAGCCAAATTCGAATACCATTGAATTGGAGAACTGCTGCTTTATTCAAAATAAAATTCTTCAAAAATGATTTATAGAAGGAGTTATGATATACCTTCCGAAGTGGACGAGGCAGTAAGCTGACCCTTAATTCAACTTTGCTCGACTATTTTTGGGAGGAAGAAAAGGGGCTCTCCCCGTTCCCCTCCTCCCGCCCCTTTGCTTCCGTTCCTCTTAGCAATAGATTAAAGTTGCCTATAATCAGTTCATACTGCTCTTTACGTAATAACAAAAAGTTAGAAGCAGATCCCTTGAACAACTTTTTACATAACAAGACTACCTGTATGTATCCGCATTCAATTTTTACTTCCGTAACGAGTGGACCAAACCTTGCATACATACAATGGTTTGGCGACTAATCAAGCTAATTCTTCTAGGAAAATAGCAATGACTTTTATTAACTTTTTGAAGATTTTGTCTCTTCTGCTACAATGATGAAAGTAAAGAACGAGTAGGTTGATATGTTGACTAGGAACATGACAACACGCAAAAAAAAATATTGGCTTCTTTTATGATGTCAGTCTCTGCAATTTGCAAGATGAAAGTAGGAGCTGTTTCCAGCACAGAGTCTTCCGCACATTCCCATCTTTTGCCCACTAGAATAAAAGTTTTCAAGTTTATTCGTTGACGGACAAGATTGGCTGAAAGAAATGTAAATCGGAAGAACCTAGAAAATTGATTGGAAAGCTCAAAAAACTTTAAAAAAAGGAAAAAATTTAAAAATAGGTGTGTTTTCTAGTCTGCAATAAAGATAAGTTCTCCCAGTAGGCGAACCTAGCAAGAGTCCCTCTATGCTGCATCGCATACTGAGGATAATTTTTCTTAAGAAGAATGTTAGATGTGGGGAGTTTCCACGAAATTGCAGAAAAGGTGATCTCGTGTTTGCGATAAAGTTCATCATACCAACTCATGCTGCTCCGACCGCCTTAGCTGGAGGAGAGCTAGCTCGCGTGCTGCTGCAGGTGCTATCTTTAACCCTTCCTTTCTGTACGCTGTTAATCTCGCATTTAGAGTGGGTGTCATCGATTTGAACTGAAGAGAGTTGATCCCACACCACGTGCAGATTACGAGGAACAAGCATTTGAATATAATTACCACATCACTTTATCCGCTGAGGGCGAAGAAGAACAGTCTGCTTTTTTTTTACCCATGTGTTCCTTGTGAAGTGCAACTTTGCAGCGAAGAGATGATTGTGCGTTTTGCTGAAAAGTTTTGTTATTTTGTGGGTGGAGGTTTTCATGAACAAATCTTGGCTGAGTTTCCTGGAATGAAGCTAATCTTCGGCGAAGTGAGGTTGGTCACTATGCTTAGTCTTTCTAGTTAATGTTGCCTTATTTGTTTTTGTCGATCTAAATACTGCAGACCCCAGCATAACAACGTTACACTGACAAGCATGGCTATAGGTAGCATGCCAAACCCTGGACTGTTTTTCGTCCGCGGCGATTACGTCACAAACTACAACGAAATTTCAAATAGGCATGAATATTGTTCCAATTTCATTCAAGAGGACTCTGTTCTATATCGCTTTCAGCTTTTTCACGAGTTGTTCTACACGTTATGGGGAGAATGTATTTTCAAAACCAACAGACCTCACTTCACAATTGAAAGTGGCCGGTATATATCACACAAATAAAATTATACAAAACTGTTTCAAACTATGATAATACATAAATTGTAATTCTTGCACCCTGGCAAACGTGCCGTTATCTTCAGTATTGGAATTTAGGGGGACAATCGTTCCTATCGTTTGCCCACTTCGAACACGACAGAAGGTATCTTACTCTCTTTTTCGCCGTGCGATTATGCGAACGAGGTATCTGTACTAATTGCTTTCACTTTGCAAAAAATGGCTTGTAATCAGAACTAATAAGGTAATTTTAGAGGAGAAATTGGATGGACTTCGATTCGCGGCGTACAAAATAAGCTTACCCTATGCAGCTATCGTACAAGTATGGAATACCCAAATTTCGTCTGTATGATTTAAAACAAGTTCGTTCAGATAATTGTTGATGTTGGCGACTCACACAACAACACTTTGTATCTGAAGTTGAAGTATCCTCCGCAGGTGTGCACTCTTTTTCCGAATTCTCTCCAGGAGACGAGTTGTCGCATAAAGTTGCTCAGCATATGTTATACTTTTATTAAGAACACTTTCGAATTGATTTATAGGTTTTGGCATACTATTGTATAGAAAATGACATTGAAAATTGAGGTTTGGCAAGCAGTGCCCCGCACGCAGCAGTGCCGTAGCAGAAATAGACGTGTTGTCAACATGGAACAGTGCAAAGAATGGGTTAGTCGTTTTATAAAAGTAATGGTGAGGTTCCATAACCGTCTAAGACAGGATATCCACGTATATATTTGGCTCGAAACGCTGATCTCAAGATTGTCTTCCTTATGTGGATTTGTGGAAGAAGATATGGTGCAATTTGAAAGGCTTCAAAACATCAATATCTTCAACGCTACGTCATTTAAGCAATGTATGAAGGAAAGAGGGGACAGTGGGTGTCAGGGAAATCACGTAGATCCGAAAAAAAATCAAGAAATTTTGCATTTCTTCTAAAAACTTACTCGTTGACAACTGATTGCAAATACTTGAATCTGCAAAAATAGCGCACGAATTCTCTGGGCGCGATCATGCTTTTCTTCCATGTGTTCATATACAATCAATTGTTTGCTGATCTTGATTTTTATCTCTTAATTTATATGACCTCAGGCTATTGTTAAAACCTTTATTTTAAAGCCCAGTGTTTCGGCACAACGCCTTCTTCAGAGGCCTGAAAGTGATTCATTTAATTTTTTTTCACACGTTCCACCCCACCAAACACCTCCTCCATTCCGTACATTAAAATCATCCAATATGACCGAAGCTGGCTACAAGAATCGACTTCAACTCACCAAGTGTTTCACCTGCTTACGATATGTGTATACTAGGCGGTTCAAGTGACTTGAACACGCTTAGAATGTTGGGAACGGCTATAGATCATTTGTGATAGATAGATTGATGTTCATTCTTGCTAATCATTCTAGGTATGCGCACAAGTATCCAAGAGGCTTCTAACGCTTTTTGAGAAGAGATATTGTCCTCCAACGTTAGGTGTGCATCTCATATCAAAAGGCGCCTCTATGATTTTCCTCCTTTGCGTTCCCAAAGGGCCCACAAGACCCTGCATTCTTTAACTAGCCAAGCGCTCGTTTACACGTACGTAAAGTGGTCAACTGGTCCCAAGATATAAGTGGCATAGCAATCCGTGCATAAACTACTCTGCATTTGGAGCAGCCTTCCAATCTTCCGTTTGGATACACAATGCATTTGGCGTAACACAGGCTCTTTCATATAACCATTACGAACTAGTCTCTTAATATTATTCTGAGGAATATTTACAAGGACAACATCGTTTCCAACTGTGCTTGCACCAAGCATTATTTTTCGGAGATGAACGGTAGACATAGTAGAACTTCAATCTTCCCCTTGCGATAGATGTTCTTGTGGAAGATTTGGGCTGGAACGAATAGCCGTTACTGGTTCTAATTCAGAGTACAGTCAGAATAAAAGTGAGAGAGAGCATTCTTTCAGACTCCTCTCTCTCACTTATATTGCCGCTAACACTGACTGTTGTTTTAAACATGCGAATTATTGCGCGTTTCATAACAATGGGATGAGCGGATCTTGCGAGTAAAATAAATTAATTATTAATACTTTGGCGGCTCTCTTTTCGATACCATGCTCCATTGTCTGACACTAACTGCGTTTTGAGTTACGGTAGTTAATCGTCGCGTGGCTTCTCCCTGTAAGGTTATGTTCTGCGATTGTTGTTTAAGCATTTGGAAGCACTCATCCATTTTGGATTGAGAGGATGTAATTATGCAATAATTATCGATGTGGTAGCAGCGCATTAGGGGGCATCGCTTTAGCATTGTCTGTTCAATCTTATACATAGAAGATGGTAAGCACGTATGCTCTTTGCCCTGTTGCCAGTCCTCTTGACTGAGTAAAGTACCCTTTACTATTCGAAAATATTGTAATCAAGGCATTCGTTGACAGGAGATATAATTCGCGCTTTACTGAATCCATACAGTTTCATACAATTAGCGTATGTGCAAGCAGCTAGAAAGCGCTTGGAGAGCTTCGTTGTGGGACGCGGTTTTGTACGACGAGACACATGGAATGACTCCATAACACGACATTGGTCAAAATTCGTGTTGTGTACATGTTCAAGAAACCGGCTAGTTTTGGGTAAATGTGGAAAAACTTTGTTCAAAATTGACTGGCAATCTTATTCAGGAACCAAGATATCCCATTGGTAGGTCTACCAACACAGCTGATCATCACTCAAAATTTGCAAGATGCTGCTTATGACGTTTCCATGTCTGATGAAGAAAGATGTGTTTAATTTGGATTACCAATTTTGGGTGAGAAATGTTTCTTTTAGACCACCTTCCTTACCAACCACCATCCATAGGTGGTTGTGCTTGCAATAGGAAAGGAATTCTTTTTTGGGCGATAAACTGTATCATCAGACATGATGCCCTGTTATAACGCGATCCATTACTTGCTGCATGACAACGAACTCCCCGCCTTTAACACTTACTTTAAGGTGATGGTTCTTTGTAGATGGAAAGGAGTTGAATGAAGCGTTTTTTACTGAAAGAAGCAAGAGCTTATGTTTGACTATCATGCCTTATCTTAATACGAAGTTGGTCTCCAAATCTTTGTAAAGACCCCACAACTTTGCGGAAGATGATCGCGAAGGCATTGAACGTGTAACGAGTACTTGGCTAGTAGAAGAACGCAGAGTCTTGTGAGCCCTTTGAATAAGCATGGGGAGGAAGACCATAAAGGCGCTGATTTCGATACAAGGCACAGTTCCAGCGTTGGAGGAAAGTATTTTTTTGACAGGCGTCAAAAGCCTCTTGGATACTTGCGCGCATACCTAGAATGAATAGCAAGAATGAGCATCAATCTATCACAAATAATCTACATCCGTTCCTATCACTCTGCAATCTTTAAGATTGCCTGCCACTATTCAAATGCGTTCAAAACTTCTTGAATCGCCTAGTGTAGACATCATCGTAAGCAGGCAGAAGAGCCAGCTTTTGCTTAGTTTGGTGAAACACAATCCTCGGCACGAGGTCTCCGATTGAACCTTACGAGAACGAAAACCAGCCTGAAAATACAGGAAATTACGAACTCCCCTTTGTAACCTGTACAAATGTGTGCAATCAGGACAAGCCAGCAGTGGCGTATACTTGGAGCGCGTTTTCTTCATTAAGAAAAAAATAATTTAGGGCCCTAGCAAGAAAGGGAGAATGTACTGTGATCTGGTTATTGCGCTGTAGGTTGGGTTAAGAAGAGGTGCACAAAAAGTGTTTGCTATAAGGAATGTAAAATTATGAGAAACAAAAAAGTGCTTGCTAACCGGAAACTTGATGTCTTCCGTAGGTCTTCGCCGGAAACCTGATTCACAAAAAGGTACGGCGATTTTTCCATTCTCATAATATTTCAAAGATTTTTCAAACACTTCTTCTACTC